TATTCATCCCACATCCCATGTGGCCTAGGGTGTTGTGTCTCCTCTCTCCCTCCCCGGCTGTCACCCAGGCTGGAAGCAATACGGGCAGCTGCCTCTTCTGTTAGCGATGGAGCCCGCGGGCAGTGCTGGTGCCAGGAATCGATGTCCATGCAGCTGGGTTCTTTCATATTTGTGTGGGGGCTGTCTACAGGGTGCCGAGAGCTCGGACACTTGAGCTAGGAACACACATCTCCAGACAAACAGCTCTGAGTTTGGGGCAGAGATCCTATGGCAGCTGGCAGATGCTGCCTGTCGGTGGATATTGGCAGGATTTGGGGAGGGGCTGAACTTTTTAAGGGAGGAAGACTGTGAATGATTGGAATGAAGAAGTGTTTTTTTTTTCTTTTGTTTTTAATAAACTTTATAGGATGACCACATGGGAGCTGCAAGAGAGATGTGCTATGATGAGGCCACCACGTGGGTCTCTGATTTAGCGCCTCCCTAGGACCGAAAAAGGCCAAAGCTGCCCAGTGGGGCTCCAGACTGTAAAGGCATGGGAAGGGCATCGGGACCTGGTGCAACGCAGAAGGAAGCTGAAACCATAAGTGAAAGAAGCCGGCCACAAAAGGCCACAGGCTCTCTGATTCCATTTACACGAGATGTTCAGCACAGGCAAATCTACAGAGACAGAATGAAGACTAACGACCGCCAGGGCTTTCTTTATGGGGTGGTGAAAATATTTCAAGATGAGACGGACGTGAGGGTCGCCCAGCTCAGAACAGGCCGTTCAACTGTGCACTTGAAAAGGTGAATCTGTAGGCTGTGAATTACTTTCAATAAAGCTGTTATTTTTTACATGTGACAAGTGTAAAGGTGTTTTGGGAACATACAAAGGTCTGATAGTCAAGTCTGGGCATTTGGGAAAGACTTCTCGGAGGAAATGATATTACCTACAGCCACAGCTGGAAAGTAAGTGGTGGCTGAAGGAAGATGGAAAGAACACTGCAGACAGAGGGAAAAGCAGGAATAAAAGCGTGGAGGTGTGGCTAGGCGTCCCCCAGCTCCCCTCCCAAGCCCCACCTGCCTCCATCTGGCACCTGAAAGGCATCTGTTGAACTCAGAGGTCTACAGTAGATGGGTGGGTGGGTGGATGAATGGATAGATAGACAGATGGACAGATGGATGGATGGCTGTATGGACAGGGGGATAACTGGATGGGCAGAGGGAGAGCAAGTGGGTAGATTGACAAATGTATGGTGGATGAATGGATGATATGTGGATGAATGGAGTGTGGCAACGCAGGCGCATTTAATCCAATTAACACCTGTCCCAGACTTCATGGTGTTACTTCTTGGATATTCTGGGCTATGTTAGGCACCTGGGGAAATGTGAAATAAGGAACACACAGAGTATACCCCTTGGGGAGCTTGCAACTAATTGTGGAAACGGCTCCTTGCTGAGCAAAGGAGACAGTGGTAGAGCCGCATTACCCTCGCTGCTAAGGGACTTGGGATGACAGGGACACGGATGACTGCATTCAGAGGGTGGCAGAGGCGGGGGAACCAGAGGAAGTGGAGTCAGAGAGGTGGCAGAGGAAGCATCTCACCCCTGGCCCCTGCAGGGGGAAACAAGCACGGGACAGGCTCTGGACAAGGCCTGGTGCTGCCTGGGGCTTGGGGGACCTGGGTGCTGTCCTCTCCAACTGTGAGGCCCTGTGTGACTGTGGACCAGCTGCTAACCCTCTCGGTTTCTGCTTCTTTGTGGCAGAGGAAATGCGACCAGAGAGTTCCGAAGGCCCCTGGGCGAGGCTGGGTCTGCAGAGCCTTGAGGTGGACATGGCTTTTAAGGTTCATGGCAGAAGACGAAGCAGAACCTGGTCCTGGATCCTCACCCAGCCACCCCTTGAGCTGGACCCCGGCAGTGTCTCGGGCAAGCGTCTTAACCGCCCAAATCTAATTTCCTTCATTTGCAACATGAAGTTATTAGCAATATCTCATAAAGTTGTTGTGAGGACTGAAATAAATGTTTGTAATTTTTCTAGGGCACCCAACATGTCAATTAAAAAAGCATTAATTCACATCTCTTGCTTACGGCTCTCTGTTTGGGACACATATTTTAGGTCATATTTCACATCGTGTTCCTTTTTGCTTTGAGAATACCCAGCACTAGGGTCCAGCCCCAGCAGCCATACTCATACTATGTAACGCTGTTCTCTTGGGGGCAGAGTTGGTCACCTGACCCAAAGTGGACCAATCAGATTGGATAACTTGGGAATTCAGAACTGGGACAAAGACAGCAGTCAGACTCTGCTGGGTACTTGAATCACTGAGCAATGAACTTGAGAATCAAGTGTGCTTCAGGAAACAGAGGAAGGAGGGAGGGAAGAGAGGGAGGGAGGAGACAGAGGGAGAAGTTGGGGAGAAGGAAGGGAAGGAGGGAGGCAGGGTTCCTCCACTACTTTGACTTATTGTGTCAACAATTAACCAGGGCATTGCTACCTTCTCCTGAATGACAGGTGACTTCCTGACTGAGGTCATCACGTCACAGCAGGATCTTTCCCATGTCTGTCGCCCAGGGCAGACTCTGCTAGATGCGCTGACGATGGCTGGGGATTGCCTCCTCCTGCTGCTGGGCCAGAAACAACCTGGGGTGTGGGACTGCATTCAGGAACACAGACCACTGAGGTGGCCACCCGGCTGCTCTCTCTGGAGACGGGAAGGTGCTCAGGACTGGAAGCACCCTAAGGGCCCAGTGCTACCCTACACCATGGAGTGCAGCACCTGCCAAAGCCATCGTCTGCCCCAGGGCCCCTCTGCCAGCTCCCCCACCTTGGCTGACCTGAGCCTGCCCTTGCCCACCAACATCTCTTTTCTACCTTTGCTGCACCTCATGGCGTCTGCCCCTATTGCTCATTTAGTCTTGGCTGTGTTGGTTCAGTTGCTCACCATTAACCCTGTGGAGTACCAAGCTCCTATGGTGCTGTCTCTTGGTCACTGGGCTGCCCACAGGTGACTGCCTTTGTACAGGTGTGCACCTTAATCCAGTGAGCAAGGGGTGGGTCACGTGGTAGCATTTTTCTACAAGGGGGCTGTGGGTGAGGCAGCTCTTACAGCATAATACATCTTTCTCCAACAGAGGTGGACAGGGAGCAGATGAGGTTGTGGATGTGGATAGGCTTTGGAAAGAATAATGGACTGTGCTGGCACAAGACGACACACATTATTCATGATATTAACAAGGCTGTTGTTACGGAGAGCAGTGGAAGTTTTCCTTGTTGGTCAAGGGCAGTGGTAAGCAGTGGCCAAGGTCTTTGATGCCCACACCTTTGCCAGGGAAGTTGCTGGGACCCCCAGCCTCCCTCTCATCATCAAGGTCACCTAGAATCGTCTGAGCCCGCTTTCCTGCTCTGGGGGCTCAGCATCTCTACCCCCCACCCCCAGAAAGCTCACAGAGCTCTTTGAGGCTCCCGCAGGTCCCCACGGGCTTTCTCTTTCGAGCTGGTGCTACTGGGGACTTGGCGCTTTCCAAAGGACTGGGGACCCAGCCTGCTGCTTCTCTAAGCCCTGCCCACAGCAAGCACAGAGGCTGTGGCTGCTCATGACCCTCCCACCACCCCAGTTCACGTGTTCCAGCCCTGGAGAGAGCGAGAAGGACTCTTCCTCTTTCATGCTTTGTTTATTTTTATCTTATTTGAAAAGCAGAGTGTGTGTGTGGGGGGGAGGGGGGGTTGTCTTCCATCCTCTGGGTCTCTCCACAAATGCCCATAACAGCCAGGACTGGACCGAGCCAAAGCCAGGAGCTAGGGACTCACTCTGGGTCTCCCTTGTGGGTGGCAGGGATCTGACAACTTGAACGAACATCAGTGTGTGCATTAGCTGAAAGCTGGATTGAAAGTACAGGAGCTGGGACTTGACCCAGGCACTCTTCTCTGGGATTCAGGCATCCCAAGCAGTGTCTTAACCACTGCACCAAATACCTGCTCCTCCTCTTCTTTCAAAGCCCTAAATCCCGGAGAAGGGAGCATGATTGATTCAGTGTGGCTCAGGGGCCACCCCTGAACACCCCAGGACAATCAGCTACAGCTGATGGGGGCGTGAGGGTCATTGAGTCAGCCCACAGGCACCAGCGATAGTGCCCTTATATCAGGGAAGCTGCCGCTAGGCCAGCCTCAGAGGGCTGGGGGCATGTTACAGGGACACGCTGTGCCGCTAACTTCATTTCTCCCACCTGGGCCCGTTCACTCCTCCTTAGGCAACCTGGCGGTCCCCCGCTCCCGGGAGGTCACCATATTGATGCTTAGCTTGGTGTGGACATAGCACATGACAGCCCAGAACCCCTGGACTCAAGCGATCCTCCAGCCTCAGCCTCCCGAGTAGCTGGGACTACACGTGCACACCACGGCACCCAGCTACTAGCTTCATTTATTTTTTTTTTTAAAGAAAGAGAGATAAAGAGTCAGAAAAGATCTATTTACTGGTTTACTTCCCAAGTGCCTGGAACAGCTGGGGCTGCCCCAGGCCAGAGCCTCAAGCTTAGACTCAATCCAGGTCTCCCACAAGGGTGGCAGGGACCCAGTACTTGAGCCACCATCTGCCACCTCCTAGGGTGCTCACTGACAAGAGCTGGGTTGGAAGTGGAGTTGCTGGGGCCCAAACCCAGAAATCTTGGTCTGGGGTGCAGGGGTCTTAGCCACTGCAGCAGGTGCCTGCCCCTGACTTCCTTCTTAGTTAAGTTTTTCCCATAAGGTAGAGCACATGGCCCCCATATCTCCAGGCTTGAGATGAACCCCCTGGAAGACAGCAGCTCTCTCCCTACAAGTCAGCAAAAGTCCAGACCAAGTAAGTCCCCTCAGACCTGGGACCTGGCACTGGCTGGCTATGGCTCTTTGCTTTCGGTCTGGTGGGGGTAGGGGTTGGGAGGAAGAGAGAAAGAGGAAGGAAGGTCATAGCATTCACTTAGTATCTACCTTATGAGGTCACTGTTAGGCCCACTGCCACGTGGAACACATTCCAACCGCACCTGTTACCAAGGCGGCCCCATTCTGCCCAACAAAAGCCCCGTGTCTGACCTCTCCAAGCCCAAGACAGAGGATTCGGGCGAGGCTCTGAGGAAGCTGAGTTGTCCTGCCGAGGACAGAGGAGAGCTTGGGGCAGTGAGTGCAATAACTGACCGAGCTGGCACCCGGCTCAGCGTCTCCCAGGGACTGCCTTGTGAAACCCTCACTACGACCCTGTTATCTCCAGCTTTTATTATCCTCATCTGCAGGCGACATTGAGGTTCAGAAAGGGTAGGAAACTCCCCTAGGATCACACAGCTGATAAGATGCAGAGCGGGAGCCCAGGGTCAGGCTACCTGGAAACAGGGCCCTTGCATTTGTCTATAGCGTCATTTTGCCTCTCAAGGAAAAGACATGCAAAAAAGAGGAGGAGAGCCAGAAGGCAGTGGGGGCTGTGGCAAGAAAATGTCCATGTCACCGTTCAGGGTTCGTGTGGAGCCGTGTGACCTGCAGCATCTGCAAGCCTCGCTCCGACTTCCCTGCTCCCTCCGCCTGCCTCACCCCTGCACACCCTCTGCAGGAGGGTTTGAGGGAAGTAGAAGGGGCTGCCTGAGCCGCACACCTCGGCTGGAGCTGTGTAAAACTGAAAGAGCAGGCCTGGGGCAGAGGCCCAATGCAGACACCGAATGCATGTAGCAGAAGCCACAGCTCCACGGCAGACGTGGGGCGGGGGGCGTGTAAAGACTCAAGGCATTCCAGAACTCTCCGAAGAATTGAGGAGAGTGATGCACTTCCAACGGGTGTGGAATATGAACTTGAACAGATTTTTTTTTTTTTTTTTTGAAATAGCAAGGGAAGGCGGTTACACAGAGATGGTGTACTGAGACTTAAAGAGGCCTCCTACTCTGATAGACCGCTGCCCCTCTGTGTCCCATGCCTCCACCCTCAGGCTGGGGTCTGAGGTTCCAGGTTCTGTCTGGCACAGGGTGAGTCGATGACATTTGTAGGAAAGAGGCCCAGGAGGGACTTGGAGTTCTTGGACTTGTTTTCTGACCTACAGCACATTCTCTCGTCAGGCTGGGGTATGGGGGTGGGGGGCCAGGATGCTGGCTCTCAGATCGGGGGCTGGCCCTGCTGCCTTAGGTGGGAAGGATCCAGGGCTTGGCCTGGGGCTAAGTCTGCAGACAGGCCCCAACTGGCTCTGGCTCTAAGGGGGGGGGGGGGCAGGCAGCCAGGCAGCACTTGGCAGGAGCCAGGCAGCAGGAAGGAGGGAGCTGGTGGAGGCTGATGAGAAGAAGCTCTGCAGGACGGGGCCTGGAGGGGGAGGGCGGCGGCCAAGGCTGCAGGGGCAGGCGGCGGGCAGCAGGGAGGCAGGCTTGTGCGGCTGCCCACCTGGGCAGACTCAGGGGCTGCTGGGTCTCCCAGGGCAGCAGGCTTGGCGGGAGGCGGCCGGGAGCGGGCTGGCAGTGGCAGGGCGCACAGGCCTGCCCCATGCTTGTCCCCCCTTTCCTACACCTGCTTCCTCCCGGTCTCTGCTGTCCCCCGAGGCTTCCGCCCACGGCCTGCAGCCTCACCTCTACCCGGTGACCCCCAAATTGTCTCTTAGGAGGCCCCTGACCTTCCATCTCCCATGTACCACCGCCCCCTCAAATTCAGAGGGTGCCAACTGAACCCTCGCTGCGGCCCCAGGCATGGGGGGAGAGGGACAAGAGGCCAGGGGGAGAGCGCCATCTCAGGGCCCTGGCCCCCGCCAGAGCCATGCTTCCCAGGAGCCCCACTGCACCCGCGGCCCTGTCCCCAGGGTGGCCGTGTCCCCAGGCCTCACACCCTTGCCCTCTTGCCTTTCCAGTCATGCTCCCCCTCTCCCGCCCACCTGGCGGGAGGGCAGCCTGAGGCTCATGGGCCAAGCCTGGCAGAGCCTGGCTCCGGGCTGGGGGCTAAAACCAAGAACACGGTGACCCGCGATGCCCACGGGACTCTGACTCCCGTAGCTGAAGCTCCCCCAGGACCTCGCAGGGAAGGGTGAGTGGAAAGACGGTGTGAGACCTTCCTGCATGCCCCTCAGGTCAGCAGCCCCCGCCCCAGGAGGGCCTGTGCCCCCTCAATCCTTAAAGTCACTCCCCGGCAGGGTCCAGCCTGCTCGCGCTCCAGCAGAAGCAGCGTCTGCCACCCTTCGGCCTTGCTGGATGACGACTCTAACACAGTTTGGTTTTTCTAATAGACTGGGCTCTGGGAACCCCTCGCCCTGGCTGGGGCACGCCGAGGGTGGGGACGGGTCACGAGCCTTCAGTGGGACCTTGGTCTGGTCTCTGACATTTGTGTTGATTAAAAACAAAAAAACAAAAAAACACTCTGCTTAAACCTGGTTGTTTTAAAACTGGGGGCTCTGATTTGATTCAAAATTTTCTTCCTCTGCCAAGCAAGCTAGGTTGGGAGCTACAGGAGGCTGAAGTGTGAGTGTGCGTGTGTGAGAGATAGAGAGAAAAGGAGAAAGGACTGGGGGGACCACGTGGTGTCTCAACACACACACACTCACCCCTTGTCCAGTCTCAGCCCAGGGTTGGAGAGAATAAAGAGGGAAGCAGCTGTCCCCCCACCCACATCTGACTGCGGGCAGTGGTTCCCTTTCTCTGCACCCTGGCTCTGATGGACTCAGCCCAAAGCCTGGTGGTCATAGGTGGAGACCCCTGAAGGCCCCACGGCCCAGGGACTCATTCCTGGCCCCTCTCCCAGGCTCTGGGGATCCAACCCTGGAAGACGTGATATCTTCCAGTTCACCCTCGACCGGCCCCTCAGCCGTGGACCCCCACTGAGACAGTGCCCGTGAGTCTGGGGCCCCCAACCTGGCCTTGGCACCTCCCAGGAGCCGAGCCCGATGGGCCTTTCCCTGGCACCCGTCTTGTGGCCCTGAGGCAGGGGCCAGCCTTTGGCAGGCAGACATCCAACCAGCGAATGCCATGTCCCTCTCTCCTTCTTGTGGTCACCCCCAAACGTGACAGACAGCACTCCTGGCCTCCCATTTCTCGGCTTTGGGGGAAGGGGACCAGGGAAGGTCCCTCCCCTTCTCTGCAGAGTCCTGAGTTTCTCCAGCCTGCTAGATCTCTCCTGGTGAAACCCAACAAACCAGTTTGGTTTCTCTCCCCCTGGGGGCAGAATCTAGGGTGGCCTTCACTGTGCAGTGACCTCTGGGGCTGGAGATTCCTATCAGGACCTCCCACCAAGCGGCTACACCCAGGAGCCGGAAACCTAGGAGGAAACCCAGAAGCAGGGTCACCAGACCCAATATGGGCTCCAGGCTCACGTTCAGGGCCCAGGTATCAGCACTGCCCTCGCTGGTTTCCCCGGCCCAGTTCCTTCCTTCCACCGGAACTGCTCCCCCTCATATCTTCATATCCCTATCGTGTAGAGAACACATCAACTCCTTACTCCCAAATTCTAGCCATCTTTCAATCTGACCTCCAACCTCATCTCCAGCCAGGTGCACACCTGTACCCATGGCTTAGTCCTAATCCCAGGTAGCGACTGCCCCTACCCTCAGCACTGTACTGAGGACTGTGAGGTTGTATCAGGGCCCAGCGGGAAGGAGAGTGCTGTGATCAGTTAGTGATGTCTGCTGTGGATGCAGAGGTGGCAGAACAGCAAGATTTTTGCACCTTGAACTTGTTGTATCAAACTACCCATATTTTTCCACCTGGAGTTCCCCCTGGAATCTCCCCGACTCCACTTTCAGGACTGGGACATGTACCAGATTACTGTCACTGTAAATGCCACACTTGTCCCTGAACACATACTTATATAGACACTGTCACCCCTGCCAAGACTCCTTTCTACCTGTCTTTTGTTTGTCAAATCTCTCCTTTTTCCTTCCTTCTAATGAGCTGGGGTGGCCACACATCTCAGTTTGCCTGAACTTGCACGGTGGTGCTAGCATAATTAGTAATTAACCATCATTATTAATAGCACCCTCTTCACTTTCATACATGTCCCAGTGTGCACTGTGAATCCTCTTCGCTCACCCAGACGCCAGCAGTCATGATTGCTGTAGGCCCTTGTGTCATTTTTTAGGTCTGTCTGACCAGCACCCAGCCCAGTATCTGGCACAGATTGGGATCATCAGAGGGGAGGAGAATTAAACAGGCAAGAAGCAGGAGGAAAAGCAGACAGAGGGGTGAAGTAGGGAGAGCTGGTGCTAGGTCGCATGTGGAACAGCCTATAGCTCCCTCGGAGAGAAACCAGGGGTCCCAACCAGGCCCACACGCAGGTCTCCACCAGGAGTCGACGCAACAGAACTAATCCACGGAGGACACTAGGAGTGAGGAAGAGCCAGTCCCTGCTAGCTGGTGCTGTAGCAAAGTAAGAATTCTAAAAATACCGCCGACCACCCAAGAGGAAGTTGGCACAGCCAGGGGCTTGCCTAGGTTTGGTGTTGGTAGCACGCTACCTGCTCTCCTTGCCGGGCTCAGAGAGGGTCCCAGCCACAGTCCCGAAGCCTCAGCATCTCCACACTTGCAGTTCTCACTGCCTGGAGTGTGCCTTCCTCCAGCGAACTCCTCTCCCCAGAAGTCTCAGGGACCTCCGATCAGCCAGCTGCAGGGGTCAGCCCCGCCCCCAGCACAGATCATGGGTAGACGGCCCCTCCAGTCGTGGCCCCTCCACAGCCCTGCCACTGCGTCTTCCATCATCTACTGACCTCCCTCACAGGACTCTGAGAGGTGAGAGCAAGGGTTGGGAATCAGACGGCTGGGCTTGAATCCTGCCCCATCGTTCACACGGACCGCCTGACCTTGTACTACGGTAGTCCACCTGCTACCTGTAACTTCACTCTCCGCAGTTAACTATGGTCTAATACGATGAAATGGAAAGTTCCAGAAATAAACAATCACGCACTGTTCTGAGTGGCGCAATGAAATCCCACGCTACCGTTCCGTCCTACTTTGTCTGCCAGGGACTTGAATCACCCCTTTGTCCGGGGGCACCGGTGCCCTGTGTGTTACCTGCCCGCGGAAGCTCCAGGAACTCGTATTGACAGAACAATGGCCCCAGAGCGCAAGAGGAGCGGGGGGCCGGCAATTTTATTACAGTCTGTTGTTGTAATTGTTCCATTTTATGATAAGTTACTATTAATCACTCTCTTACTGTGTCTTGTTTATAAATTGAACTTTATCACAGATATGCATGTATAGGAAAAATACGGCATATCTAGGTTTCAGGTATCCACTGGGGGCTTGGAAAAGATCCCTGTGGTTTAGCGGGGGCTCCCGTGCCTCCTGGAAAATCGCTGGCATGTTATGAGGGTCACATGTGTTAAAGCACAGGGAGTGTTTACATCCAGACACATCACAAACACCCTTATTATTTGCACCAAGTACTAACAGAATTAAAAGGTAACTATTTGGGAGCAAAAAGTTTTTTGAGATCTGGGGCCAGTGTTGCCGCACAGCTGGTTAAGCTGTCGAATGTCAGGTCACATTGGAGTCCTGGGTCTCACCCTGCTCCACTTCCAATTCAGCTCCCTGCTAACGCACCTGGGAAAGCAGCAGAAGATGGCTCAGGTGCTTGGGTCCCTGCACCCACGTGGTGACCAGGATAGAGTTGTGGTTCTTGGCTTCCATTTGGCCTAGACCTGGCTGTTGCAGCCATTTGGGGGAGTGAGCCAGTGGATGGAAGAATCTCTCTCTCTCTCTCTCTCTCTGTTGCTCTGTTTTTCAAATACATTTTGAAACTCTTGCAGTTTTTGCATAAAATGCATTATCTTGGAAGTTTTTTTAAAGAAGACTTTATTTATTTATTTGAGAGGTAGAGTTACAGACAGTGAGAGGGAGAGAGAGGTGTTTTTGTTTTTTTGTTTGTTTGTTTGTTTTTGACAGGCAGAGTGGACAGTGAGAGAGAGAGACAGAGAGAAAGGTCTTCCTTTGCCGTTGGTTCACCCTCCAATGGCCCCTGCGGCCAGCGCCGCGGTGCTTCTCCTGGTCTCCCATGGGGTGCAGGGCCCAAGCACTTGGGCCATCCTCCACTGCACTCCTGGGCCACAGCAGAGAGCTGGCCTGGAAGAGGAGCAACTGGGACAGAATCCGGCGCCCCGACCAGGACTAGAAGCCGGGGTGCCGGCACCACAGGCGGAAGATTAGCCTATTGAGCCACGGCGCCGGCCTGAGAGAGGTCTTTCTTCCGTTGGTTCACTCCTCAAATGGCCTCAACAGCTGGAGCTGTGCTGATCCGAAGCCAGGAGCCAGGAGCTTCTTCTGGGTCTCCCATGTGGGTGCAGGGACCCAAGCACTTGGGCCATCTTCCACTGATTTTCCAGGCCACAGCAAAGCTGGATTGGAAGAGGAGCAGATGGGACTAGAACCTGGTGCCCATATGGGATGTCGGTGTCACAGGCTGCGGATTAATCTGTGCCATGGCGCTGGCCCCATCCTGGGAGTTTTTGAAGACTGCTCGTATGTATGTACAGATTTCCAAAAAACATTTTAAAGATTTTATTTATTTGAAAGGCAGAATTACAGAGAGAGAGGTCTTCCATCTGCTGGTTCACTCCCCAAATGGCTGCAATGGCCACAGCTGGGTTGAGCCAAAGCCAGGAGCCAGGAGCTTCTTCCGGGTCTCCCACGTGGGTGCAGGGGTCCAAGCACTTGGGCCATCCTCCACTGCTTCCCAGGCTCATTAGCAGGGAGCTGGATCAGAAGTGGAGCCATATTGGATGCCCGTGCTGCAGGCAGCAGCTTAACCTCCTACCCACAATGCCAGCCCTGGATTTCAAAATGTTTTCACATCAAAATAAACGTATCGTCTAATTCCATTTTCCATGAACTTCCTGAAGTAGCTTTGTATTACTCAAGGGCGAAATCGATGCTCTCACCTCACCTTAGAGCCCCTAACACTGTGCCCAGCCACTCAACAATAACTGCCGAACAAATGTGCTTCAATCACACACCACTGGGTTTCAAAAATGACCTGAGGTCGCCAGAGGATGCATGTCGCCAAAAGCTTGTAAATCTTCAAGCACATTTAAAATTCCAGTTGTTACTTAAGGAGAGCCCCAATTCCGCGCATGGACGGATACACCTCGGTGTGGACGAGTGGCTCCCCACAGTGCCTGTCTCTGGAGACAGGGAAAGCCTGCATCCCCCGGACCGGGACCCAAACTTACCTCTCTTCAGGGGCTGATCCCAGTTCTGCCCAAGGACGCCGCCCAGACTTGTGAGGACCTCGAGGTGCCGGGCTGAGCCGCTGACTGGGGAGTGAGTGTCCGGAGCAGGTGCTCTGGGTTGGCTGACCGGATGTCCACCTGTGCCCAGGTCTGGGCGA